GACAAGTGAAGGTAGTCTTTTCTTGATCCTCTGGAGCAATGATAATTTGATTGTAGCCGGAATACCCATCGAGGAAACAATAGAAAGCACGTCCGGCCAACCTATCAAGCATTTGATCAAGGAAGGGAAGTGGGAAATGATCTTTTCTTGTAACTTTGTTGAGCTTGTGATAGTCCATACACACCCTCCAACTAGTCACCGTTCTTGTAGGAATCAACTCATTTTTGTCATTGTTAACCACAGTCATACCCCCTTTCTTTGGGACTCATTGCACCGGAGAAGTCCTTGAACTATTAGAATTGGGGTAAACAACCCCGGCATCCAACCACTTTATGATCTCCTTCTTGGCCACCTCTTGCATTGCTTCATTCAACCTCCTTTGATGTTCAACGGAGGGTTTGGCACCCTCCTCCAAAATTATCTTGTGCATGCAAAAGGCAGGGCTTATGCCCCGGATATCCGCCAAGGTACATCCGATTGCTCTTTTTCTCCTTTGTAGAACCTCCAATGTGGACTCTAATTGCATGTTAGTCAAACAAGAAGAAAACCGGTAAAGTAGAAGAAGGGCTAAGGAATTCATACCTGAGATGTGGAGGCAATGGCTTTAACTCCAAAGTGGGAGGCTCCTCGATTGAGGGCTTTGTTGGGGGAGTCTTCCGATTTTCAAGATCTAAAGATAGCTTGCGGGGCTCATAAGTATACGACCTTATTCCTTGCAATGCATTCACACACTCCACATAGCCTTCTTTCTCTTCATCATCATCAAGGTTGAGCAAAACGGCTTCCAAATTATCCTCAACATTCATTGTGGCACTAGCATCATCAATAATCACGTCGGTCACCAAATCCACGAACGAACAAACTTCATTGCTATTTGGTTGCCTCATAGATTTGCACACACACTACTACAAAAAAGGTCTTTGGCAGCAATTATTTAGCGGCAATTAGGTAATTGCCACTAATGAATTATTTAAGCTAAAATATTAGCGGCACATGACCATTAGCCAGTAAAAGATATATTTTTAGCGACAATAAAAAACAATTGCCACTAAAAATCCCTAATTGAATTATATTTTTTATTATTTTAACTTTCCCTCCATACAATCTTTTCCTCCAATTTTTTGGGACAATAAATTACATTCCCTCCAATTAGAAAACCCTACAATTAAAAAAAGGAAAAACCAAACCCTGTAATTAGAATGATACAGAAGACGCCTGTAATTAGAACGATACAGAACGACGGAAAACCTGCGCGTTAACAGCATCGCTGCAAAATCCTCCGCCCTGCCACGGTCTCCGGCCATCCCAGGTCGTTCTCGATCGAGTTATATATAATTTTGGGTTGATGCTGCTCGATTATTATCATTCTTCTCTGTCAATCTTCTCCCTCTCATTTGTCTTCAACTTCTGTTTCGTGTAGGTTTCAAGAATTATTGCAGAAAGCCTTTGTCTCCTTCAATTTCTACTCTTAATCGGCAAAAGCTTTTGCTTACTAGGTTCCAATTTTGATTTTTGATTTTTGATATCCAACTACGTCCTTTTGGGATTAGTGAAAGTATAGCTTTTTCTGTGTTTGCTAAGTCGTTTGTGATATCTGGTTGTTGTTAGATTGATAGTTGATTGATTGAACTGATTCCTCCTCTGTTACTCTCTTGTTTATGAATTGGTTCCTCTGTTTTCAAGGCACTGTTATTTTTGTGATTTTTCAGAAATTTTCTAAGTGTCAGTTGATGCATATTGATGTTTTAGTTGAATGCCGGTAGTTTGCTTGTATTTATTATGTCTTCAATGCAAATTTACTTTATTTTAGTGTATTTGGGAGGGTAAAGAAAAGTTGTTGTGTCTGTGGAGAGGCAGGGGGTAGTCTGTTTGTTATGAGTTTGGTGACTTCAGTAGGAAATACGCTCTTAAAATGTAAAGATTGTTGGAATAAAGTGAGTTGAGCTTTTAGTTTTCTCTAATAATAGCGGAAGGTCTTTATGCATCAGTAAATGAAGAATTGAAGCAACAAAAAAGATCCTACGCCGTAGTCACAAAATGCAAAATGCCTCTTTTCAATAGGAAAGAACAGATAATATGTACTTGTACTTATTAGTTTTAAAGTGCACTATTGTAAACTTTTGTAATTCGATTAACATCGGGAATTCCATATCAGTTCTGCGTAAGTATAAGAATTGGTTGTTTCATATATTTCATTATCTTGTTCCTGTCAATGAGATGAAACAGTGATCTGCTTAAGCTATTAGCATATCTAGTACATGAATATTATATGGTGCAGAAATTACAGCACAGACTCTTTGCTCTCTCGGTCGTTAACTAATGAAATTGGCAGACAACTTAGGTCCACCCCGTTGCTACACTTGAACCCCTACAAAAGATTTTCACTATTTCCTTAGGTAATTTCTGATTGTCATACTCATAAAAAAAATTATTAGCTCGAAATAATTGTGCCAAAATAGAGTTAGCCTGCAATAGAATTGTGAGAGTGGAGGCTGATGTTATTGACGTTGTAACTGTTAAACTTCCCAACCTTGGTGTCACCTTGTTGCCCATGCAATTCAGACAATTAAAGGTCCAATGGAAATAATTAAGTTGGTTGTTACAAGTCAAGGTGGAGACTATCTTAATGTTGATGAGATCACTGAAAGAAACTTGAGAACAAGAGAGAAATACAATGAAATAACCAGTATAATGAATGTTGGGATGATTTACAGTTTGCTACACAATTATGAAATCAAGTGCATGCAAGACCCTGCACAAAGGAGGGCCCTGCTCCTAATGAAATTCCAACAGAAGCATAAACTGATTTGCTCAGGTAATTTTGTTAATTTAGACCTATAAATCTACGTTATTACTTTTCAGCCTAGGTGGAGAATTGTTTGTATTTTGATTTCCATGTTCATTTTTCTTATTGCTACTCTAACCTCGTCTTTTAATTCAGACGAAAAAGAACAAATAGACCGAGCACAATCCACATTTTGGAGAGAATGGAACTAAAGCTAGAAGAGCAAAAACGCATTGCAGAGTGTTCAAGGAGTTAAGAACAAATAATCCCTGGTGTTGAAACTACTCGCTTCTTATCGGGGGACATGGACTATAGAGAGAGTGTTGTTTTTTCATTTGTTGAGACCATTACCCCAGAGAAGAAACACATTGTGAAGGATGCATTGAAGTTGGCCAATATTTATAGCTTAGATTGCAGCAAGGTGTGCACGTTTGTTAAACCAGAAGAGTAACTGAGATATTGAAACTACATTCACAGAAGAGTAACTGAGATATTAACAGTTACAGCGTCAATAACATCAGCCTCCACTCTCACAATTCTGCTAGTTGGAAAGATATTCGCAAACAAAATGGAGAGTACAGAACAGCGCAAGCTGAATATGTAACAATTAGCCTGCAACAGTCATTAGATTGAGCATTCTAAAGAGTTATATTCTGAATGCTAACTAAACAAAAATAATTGGCAAGTGGCTAAAAGATATGGAGAGAAGGAACTGTAAGGCAGAAACTATCCATGGAAGCCACCCACTTGTTATAATACACTCATGCGCAAATATACTTCAAATGAACCTATGCCTCAAAATATCGATGGCACCTGAAGTGAACAGGTAACTCGATTTCATAAGTTTTAGACATTTTTAATGAAATTTTAATCCTATAAAAGTATTGTTATCTAATGTGTTAATATATATCAGGTCCCTGATGCCAACAGCGGCCATGAACGAGTACCACAAACATCAAGGATACCTAGTGTTGCTGAAAATACTTCACTTTATCACGGTACTACTCATCTTTATCCTTCAGTGCACTACTGTTTGAGTTTTTTACTATTTGAAACACCATCCAGAATATTCCTAAACTAAAGTTGAAATAGGCTTCTTTTTTTATTTCTGTACGCTTGACAATCTGACATTAACGATAACTATATATCAACTGCAATTACTTAAGTTGGGACTAGTTAGTAAATTCTGTTGTCCGAAGATGCTTCCTATTTTCCTCTTGCTGTTCTGTTCCGACGGTTGCAGCAAAATCTATCATAACAGTATTTGGCCAAGTTAACTCAGTTAATTAACATCAGTTGTGTATCCATCCTTACAATCATATGTTCACCAGACTTTCTTGTGTACCTGCATTATTAGAAAACAGTGTATTTTCTCCAGCTACACGCACATGCACTTCAGGTAGCTTATTTTGCACTTCACTAGCAACATCGCACCCTAGATTAAGCCCATCATTGGCCTGATCAGATGGACTATTTGGACAGTTCTCAGCTTGTTCAAGCATTGTCTTATCACCTGTAGCAGCTACACTATCCAAAACATCAACACATTTAAGTTCTTGCCTCTCATCATGCACAGCAATAGATTTAAAGCCTGCTGGTTTTTCAACTAGTTCAGCACGTGCAACAGTTGCATCAGTCACAGTGTTAATCTGCCCCTGTCCATTATTATGTTGCTGCACAGCTTCATTACCTCGACAAACTTGAGTATATCCTTGATCTGAAACACGATCAGCAGTAGGGTCTTTAGAAACCTGCTTTTCTCCATCGCAAACCTGAGAAACCCTATTCAAAGCTGTAGTTTTAGAGCCTGCTATTTTTTCAAACAATTCAGCAGGTACAACAGCCGGCTGATCATGTACATGTACCAATTGTTGTTGAACAATAATCTCAGTAGGAAATTCCAAAACCTTTGTACCATCTGTTGCCTTAGGATCCTTCAAATCAGCAGCTTGTTCAGTAGATGATTGAGCTCGATTCCCATTAGGAGTCAGAGCATCAAGTACCTGCTGTCCAGCTGCATATGTTGAGAGTACCATCTTTTCTCTTTCCCATATGTTGATAGTTGTATCTTAGATTGTTCATGTTCCTTAGTGATCAGCTGTCTAGCTACATTAGCGTATTGCTCAGCATCTATAGTTATAGAAGTCCTAGTTAAATTTCGATCAACCACAGGTACTGTTGCATTCTTCAAAACCTTAGAACCCCTAACTAACCCCTATTTGAGGAACTTGCTGTTACCAAAACATCTTTTGCAGTCTCTAGACCNATGTTGACAGCCAGGACAGTGGTCACTTTTAAGAACAGTTTGAGGTCCAAGAACCTCTCCGTTCCTCAAAGCAGCAACTTGCCCCATCTCACAAGGGCGACTATCAGCAGTGTCAACCAATTTAGCGAGAGAAGGTTTCAGACTCGCGTAGCCAAGTGCTCCCATAGGGTCTCTCCTTAGCAACCTGCAGCCAAATCTAGCAAATAAGTTTCCAATAATGCAAGATTCCTTTGGGCTTTTCCAGTAAAGCAGCATCTCTCTGGAGCCCATACAAGTGTGCTATATCACAAGATGGTCCTTCAATATTAGAGATCACGAAGTTCTATTAACACAGTGTCCAAGGTCAAGAAACTTTTACTAATATAAATAGTAATATCTTGTTTGATACAAAGCATCATCCACACAGATGAGATTTTATAAGGAATGCCTTCATTACATTAGAAAAATTTAAGCAAATCAAACCACCAGCATAGCTACACATCTACATTGGAAAGTAACTCGATTAATGTATGGCATAGTGGAGATGAGTCAGTAATCTTGAGAGGCTTCTCAAAGTTCAGATCCACAAGTTCATAAAGATGTTTCTGCCTGCTCTCTCCAAATACCAACCCCCAAGCCGAATAACTTAAAAGGAACTAAGACAGGAACAGTTGAACAAATTTAGTGATTGCATAGACTTTCTTGCAAGATATAAATGCTAATTTTCTCCACATAATTTGAAAGTTCAGAATACTTATGTACTTAATGAACAAGTAAAATTGCCTGGGAAGTGCAATTCAACAATTGAACTGAAAACCGGTGTAGTATAAAGTCAATTTTTGGGCCAAATTATGTTCTCGTTCTGTAGGTATCTCTTTAATTTCTCAGATAAACATCAGATTAAATTGAAATTATGTAAGATTACAAAAGTTCCTCAGGTCCAACAACAGACATATGCACATGAATCAGTGACAAAATACTGACACAAAATAATGATGTCCGATAACCACCTGAAAGAGTCAGTTGCAGCAGTTACATTTATGCATCAGAAAAGATGGAGTAAAAACAATAATAAGAATAACGATGATAAAAGCAGCAATATAAAATATTGTAAGGCAAGCACTTTGAACAATAGCAGAAAATTTTATCCTCACCGACGGATTATACTATACAACTCTGGTCGTGCTTTCATCCAATCGCTAAAGCTGCAGTGAGCAGAGGACCTAGAAAATAGTGCATCTCGTTGTGTATGGAGATATACAGCAAAACATATAAGGAAGTAATATCTTTCTAGGTACTCCACAAAAAACGAAAGTGCAGCCTCTCTCTTCATCTCATCAGGTTGGCGCAAAATACTATTGCGGTAGATAGCAATAGCTTCACGTAAATTCTGCAAGTAATCCATATTAACAATTTAAATGAAAATTTTGCATTATAAATTATTTTTATCTCAGAGCCACACCGAAAGAAACTGCATATTTTCAAGCTTTCCAAAATGAAATGAAGTAGAAGGGATGACAGAGAAGATTGATCATGGATTTTCTCATCACAAGAAGCAGATCATGAACAAGAAGACTGCATAGTAGATAGTGCACAGAAATAACCAAAGGCAAGTGGTAGAAGAAAAACATATTCCCAAACATAATACAACCCTACCTGCATAGAGGAACATTTGTCAATGACGTTTATCCACTTGCTTTTTAGCCTTACAACACCACCCTTTTAAGGACATAAACTCCAGTTAATCTACAAATATGTCCAATCTGCTAAAATACTGAAATAGAAAGTTAGACTGCTTTGCTACCTCTAATACCCGAATCAAGCTTCTAATTACAGCATAATTCCCCTCTACGGATTGCCTCCTCTGAGTTTGGTAATGTATCATTCAGATTGGAGACACAGTCGGAAACTCTACCAATGGAATTGCTCCTTGGAATTCCTGTTAGATGAAGACATTTCAAGTAATGTTTCCAGCATTCAAAGATTTAAACAGAGAAGTGATTAGAATTAAAAGTGCAATTCATGCAGAAATGCATGACATACAGGTCTAGAGATTTAGCTTTTACATCAAGTCCTGGCAATCTGCCTTCACAGGTTTTTTTTTTTTGGGTGTGTGTGTGTGATAAAGTAATAAATATTTATTAATGAAGGGCAAAAGACCTCCCGTATACCAAAAAGTAGAAAACCTTACAAGATATGATTATTTTACAAACGACAGTATGGCACCCAATAAGACGATAAAAGGGCAAATTATGATGTTTCCATAGGGGATATTGTAGCCATTATAATTGCTGTTAAAAATAATTTTTAGCGGCAATTTGATTGAATTTACTAGCCATCAAAATGGATGCTAAAAGGGCATACTAACTCATTTTCAAAAGGAATATTATAGCAATTTTAATTGCCACTAAACGATTACCGCTAAAGCTATGGACCTATAGCGACAAATATTTTGAATTTAGCGGCTATAAAAATGGTCGTAAAAAGAGCATTAGTAGCTGTTTTTAGATTAGATTTAGCAGCCATTATAATTGCCGCAAACAATTGCCGTTAAAGCAAATCATATTTAGCAGCAATAAGTCAGACCTTTACCAGCTTTTGTGAGAAATGCCGCTAAAGGCTTTGCCGACCCCAATATCAGCGGCTAAACATCAATTGCCGGTAAATGGTATAGCGGCAATTGTTATTGCCGCCAATGACCTTTTTTATTGCCGCTAAAGCCCCTTTTTGTTGTAGTGACATGGAAGACCACCTTTTCATCACCCGCCCGGAAAGTGAGCTCACCGGCTTCCACATCAACAAGAGCATTCCCCGTAGCAAGGAAAGGTCTACCCAAAATAATAGGCACCTCATAGTCCATTCCACAATCAAGAATCACGAAGTCTGCAGGGAGGATGAACTTGTCAGCACGAACCAACACATCATCAATAATACCCCGAAGGTCTCTTCATTGTATGATCCGTCATTTGCAGCCTCATGGAAGTGGGTCTTGGTTGCCCAATCCCCGAAGTTTTGAACACCGAGTAGGGCATCAATTTGATACTCGCCCCAAGATCACATAAAGCTTTGGCAAAATCGGCACTCCCAGTACTGCAAGGGATTGTGAAAGCACCCGGATCTTCCAATTTTGGAGCCACTGAGTGCACAATAGCACTCACTTGATGTGTCATCTTGATAGTTTCATAATTCATCGACCTCTTCTTGGTGACCAAGTCCTTCATAAACTTTGCATAACCCAAAATTTGCTCTAAAGCCTCAACCAATGGTACATTGATAGACAAACTCTTCATCATGTCAATAAACTTTTTGAATTGGTTCTCACTATTTTACTTTGCAAGCCTTTGAGGGTATGGAGGAGGAGGCCTTGGCATTGGTGCCTTAGCCTTTGGCACTACCGGTTCCAGCATGTCAATCACGTGTTCCCTAGACGGGTTCACTTCTTCTTGCGTATCCTCCACATTTTTATCAATATCAATTCTCACTTCCTCATTATCTCGAACCACATTGCTTGGAATTTCATCTTCTTGAACCACAACATCATCATCCACAATTCTTCTTTGATTTGAGGTGGTTGCATCTCCACTTTTTCCACTTCTCATAGTCACGGCCATATGTCCCGTATTATTCCCACCCTTGGGTGTCACCACCGTATCACTTGGTAGTGCCCCCTTAGGACGAGTATTCAAAGCTTGCGAGATTTGGCCAATTGGACTTCCAAATTGCGAATAGAAGTATTGTGGGAGGCCAGTTGAGCATCGGAGTCGGAATTCTACTCCATCATCTGTTTAAACATGTTCTCTATTCGTGCCATCTCATTATTAGAAGAGTTCGGTCCTTGAGAAGAGTAGGGAGGTGGATTGCTCGGTTGTTGGAACATTGGGGGCCTTTGAAAACCCGACCCCCATTGTTGTTGTTGTTCTATCCTCCTTGGTTGTTACCTCCCTAATTGCTTTGATTGTTGCCACCCCAATTGCGTGGGTTATTGCCTCCCCAATTGCCTTGGTTACCTTGATTATTCCAATTGCCTTGATTAGGATTGCTACCACTCCAATTTTCTTGGTGGTTTTGGTTATTCCAATTTTCTTGGTTTCCTTGTGACTTCCATTGTTGTTGATTTTGTCCTTGAGCATTGTTTCTTTGACCTTGATAATTGTTGACATATTACACTTCTTCTTCTTGCTCATTGAGCGAATCACCTTGGTCATACTCACTATCATCTTGCATGAATTTTTCCAGACGGCTTTGAATTTGTTGACCTTTTTGCCGTCTCTTGTTCATCATCATATTCACACCTTCTATTGCATTCACTTGTTTTGGCCCTTGAAATTGTTGAAGCTGAGCTTTGGTCAATTGGTTCATTGTAGTTGTCAACTCGGCTATAGCTTGCCCATGATCATGTAGTTCCTTGTGTAGGTGAATGACATTTGGGTCACCTTGAGGAACATTAGCTCTACTTTGCCATGCCGATGAGGTCTCTGCCATCTCATCCAAAATTTCACAAGCTTCGGCATAAGGCGTGCTCATGAAGTTCCAACCAATGAGTTGATTTACCACACATTGATTTGTTGTGTTGATCCCTTTGTAGAAGGTTTGTTGGATCATCGCCTCGGTTATATTATTATTCGGGCACTCTTTATCCATGGTACGATATCTTTCCCAAATCTCGTGTAATGGCTTATTTGGATCTTGCTTGAATGCAAGAATCTCATCCCGTAGTGTTGCCATATGCCCCGGAGAGAAGAATTTGGCAATGAATTTTTTCGCCAACTCATACCATGTATGAATGGAATGATTGGGCAGACTCGATAACCAGTCCAATGCCTTTCCCCGTAGAGAAAAGGGAAATAGCCTCAACCTCAGCACGTCCTCGGAGACAGTGGTTTGCTTGCTCCCCCAACAAGTATCGACGAACCCTTTGAGATGCTTGTAAGCATTTTGACTCGGAGCCCCGGTGAAGAATCCCCGTTGCTCAAGTAATGTAAGCATCATATCAGTGATTTGGAAGTTGACCGCCCTAATGCGGGGCGGGACTATAGCACTTGCAAAACCCTCGTTCGGCAACACCCGGTGCGCTGTCGCTCTTGGTGGAGGTGGGGGAGGGACGGGAACATTATCATGAGGCGGTCGGCCTCGCCTATTTTCTTGAAGTTCGGGAAGAACCTCATCTCCTTGGTCATCGTCCACTTTCTCCCCAATGGCACATTCCTGATGGGCTTATTGTTGAGAGTCATTCTCGTACCTATAATCAATTCAAAAACAAAGTTAGTGACTCGGAAGGAAAAAAAGACAAATTACACAAAATCCTAGATATATAGCTAAATCTGTTTAATTGCCCGGCAACAGCGCCAAAAATTGATGTCGCCCAAACTCACACCACAAATTTAGGTAGTGAGGCGGTCGATGCAATAATAAAATCCAACGCAAGTCGGGATCGAATCCACAGGGAGTTAGAATTGGGATTAGGTATATATTTAGTGTAATTGTACAATGTGCCTCAAATTACACTTCCACATTCTAGTTTATTGTTTCTACTTCTACTTTAAGCTAATGATTTCAATTATAAAACAAGAAGATAATATTTTTGGTTTTGGTTGTGTTTCAAATGATAAAAGATCTAGGGTCGTGACTTCCACCTAGGTGGTTACCTAATGGGTTATAAACTCTAGGACAATATTGATTGGTCGGGGTTGTAATATAGCAATCACACGCAATTACCCACTCTATACCTCTCGGTAGTTTGAGTAATATTGCCCAATTTGGCTTTCTCAACTCCAAATGGGTGTTGCACAAAACAAGTGATGTATGCTCAAGTCGAGTCTTACTATCTCTAGATTTGACCCTTTAATTGGGGTTATCAATTTCTTGATTTCACTCTAACTTCTTGTTATCCAAGTTTTCCTAGACTTAATCTCTCTTTCTCAAGTAGAAACTAAGCCAATTAGGCATGAAATAATGTTTAATTCTTGAATTCAAGCAAGAACTAGGCTAAATATCACTAACCCAATCACAAACAAGTCCTAAATCAAACACCCATTAAGTACCCACACTAGGATTGGGCCACAACCCTAGCTAGAAATTTAGCTACTCATGAAAAATGAAGAAATTAAGATAGAATGCATAATAATTGATTAGGGAAAGAAAATCTAATATTTAGAAGCTAATCTAGAACAATATTACTCAAAACGGTAAAGAAAAACTGCTCAGGTGCTCTACACTGATACAACTTAACCTAAAAATGATAAAAAGTTCTATTTATACTAAGCTGAAAATATCTAACAAAAATGCCCCTGCGGAGGTTGTGCAGCCGCACAATTCTGTGTGCGGTCTGCACTCTGAGCTTGACTGGTCAACTGGGCCTTCTATGGTCGCATAAAAATGGGATGCGTCCGTACTTCATTTGATTGTGCGGACCGCACAATTCTGAGTGCGGCCGCACACTTGAACGTGGACTGAAACGTGGCTCTCTGATTCTTCTCTTCTACGGATCGCATAATTGTGAGTGCGGTCGCACTTGTTATCCTGCGGCTGCACAATTATGGTGCGGTCCGCATATCTTCAGCTTTCCCAAAAACCAACTCTCTGAATCTCCTCTTCTGCGGCCGCACAATAATTGTGCGGTACGCATACTCTGAAGGAGAGCTGACAGTGCTCTTTCATTGTTTGCGGCCGCACACATTATTGTGCGGTCTGCACTGTAGGGCTTTTTGCCTTGTTTTGGTCCTTGTCCAATTTCGACTCCTTTATGAGTTAATTTTGACTTCTTTGGCTCATTTCCAATATTCCTGCACGAAAGCACATTTCATTAATTGTCGGGAATACCTTTAAGCATTTTTGAGCTAAAACGCAAGTAAAAGAGAGCAAATAAGCGGTCAAAATCCCTACTTATCATACATATACTGTTATGTACAGAGGTTTATCATGTATGTGTCTTGTCATAGCCTCGTCACTACTTCGTCAAGGTTAGGCTCGACACTTACGAGTACAAGGGATCGGTTGTACTCATACTACACTCTGCACTTTTTGTGCAGATTTTGGTACCGGCCCTAGCTGTTCATGAGGCGTAGCAGCTTGGACTTGCTTGTTGGATACTCGGGGTAGATCTGCTGGCGTCCGCAGACCTTGGAGTCCCCTTCTATTTTCCTATTTTACTGTTTCTTTTCATTTAAAACAGTTGTATTTCTTTCAGACTCTGTTTGTAGAAAATCTTAGAAGCTCATGAGTTGTGACTCCAGATCCGATTTATAGTAGATATTATGAGTAATTATGTTATTCCGCACTCGTTTTGTTTCATTTTGGCTTAATTGACTTTATCAATTGAATTTGAATAATAATTGACTTAACGGTTCTCTAACGTTGGCTTGCCTAGCAAGTGAATTGTTCGGCGCCATCACGGTCCCGAATGTGGGAATTCCGGGTCATGACACTTTACTCCAAGCAACTTTAGAAAAAAGAAGTTAATTTCTTCTTGATATCCGAAAAAATCAAATATTATGGACATTAAAAAAAGGCCAAAAAATCAATTGAAGTGGACCGGATGGAATATTATTAAGCTAAACGTTTTACAAAATATAGGAAATGTTAGGCAAATCCTACTATTACTAATGCTAGTAAATATCTTTTTCTTAAGGGGTGTACAAGAATCTCAAAAAATATACCAGATATAGATAGTAAACAAAAATATAGAACCACAACATCTTAGATGAATTGACGTCACTCTTTTGTTAATAAGAAAAAGGTCATTAGCAATTCAACCACAACATCTGAGATTTGTTGAATGTTAATGTTGGATCCTAATTGATGTGATATATATAAGAAAAATAACCCCAAAAAAAAGAAACAAATATGAGGTTTTTGTAAATGTTATGTTGGGGTTTCCGCACCGAGATGCAATATATTGTCCCTTTCTGGCCGTTGTGCTGCATTAAAGTGAAGTTTGTCCATCTTCTCTCTTGCCTCTTCATTAAAATGCACCAACTTGCTCTCTTCACTGTGCATTTTTACTGGTGTGGTATCCGAGTCAATTTACGCGTATCTTATCTAATTTTACAAGATATATCAAGGTTTCAAACAAAAAGAAAAAACTCTTTCCGTCTCATATTATCAGGTTACTAAAAATTATTTTTAAATTATTTGTCACTTTAGAATTTCAAGATAAAATTGATTTTCTTTTTCCTTTTTTACCCTTAGTAATAATTATCCTTAAAGACTACAAACACCTCAATTATGGATAACTTTGTTCAAATACAATGAAGAAAAATTAAATATTAAGAGATGAATAAGGGTAAAGTAGTCAAAATCTCATCCTAATTAATTTTTCTTAAGGAGCGTATGCAAGAGAATCATGACAGATAATATAAGACGGAGGGAGTAATATTTTGATTTGAGTGCCATCTTTCAACCAATTTTTTGGAAATGTTATTATCTCCTACCAGTGTAAATACTGAATAGTTCCGTCGATCAAAATCAAACCGATGAGAAAAAATCGCACGATATTTTGCTTTTACTGGAATTTAAAACCTAAGAACTCGTGGTTTTCGACCACTTAATTGTGCATTCTTCCTTTCCCAAAAAAAAGAACCACGGAAATAGATGTGGTGGTGATATTCCAGCTAATTTTCAAAGATATGGGGATATCACTTACCTGTTTCAAAATCACTCGAGTTTATAAAATTACTTTTTTTTTTCATCAAGTATGATCCATCAAAAAATCATTTACACCTCAGTTTTTTCAGATTATATGCTTTTATCTTACAGTTAATCGTTGCTCATACTTTAAAAGCAAAAGACAATTAAAATGATATTTAAATGAAACAATAAAATGAGAAAAGAGAACGATTACCAAGCATTAGAAGTTTGATCTTCATTTTTGATTAATTCACACAAAATTCAGTTACTTTAATATGATAAAAAAAAAATTGTAATTTTACTGTTTTATATTGTAGGTAAAGTTCAATTGCTCTATGCAATAAAACTGCTAATTGCATAACTTTATTGTTGTAGTAGTGAGAGAAAATAATCCGTTAATATTTTTTTTATGATATCATGTATTCTATACGGAGTGTAAATTTTTATCATATTAGTAATTGTAGTTAATATCAAATTAGTTACAGAAGAAAGTTATTGCAGCAAAAATTCAAACATGTCATGTAGGGGCGTATATAAGTCGGGTTTAATTGGACTTTTTCAATTACCAGACCAAACTAATGGTATTAGATTTTTAAATCTTCTACGAAATCGGGTTTTTCAATCTCGGTTTTCTCGAATTTTTCGGTTTTTCTCGGATT